TGCACAACTGTTAAATAAAAACCATCTTTATTTGATAAACTATTGCCTTGTGATTGACCCCAGCGTCACGTAGTTAACGGAATTGCTGCGCGTGAAGTAACCATTGAGAACGCAAGATCGACGGACTGATCTGCGTCAGTGTTACGAACTCTGGCCAAATTCATACGCCTCTTTTGAGCAGAAACTGCCCCAATCGTTACACGGCGTGAGACAGATCGAAGTGACTGACTCGCTGTGATTTCACCACAACATTTTTGGTGGTGACTGTGAGATAGAACACTACCAACGACACTCATTACCCCCTCCAATATTTTCTCGCGAACACTTTACATATTATCATTAGTGTGCAGAAAACTTATTTTGAACACGTAACACCTCTGACCTCAAGTGGACACAACGCAATACTCCCACACTTGTTACGACTGGAAATTTTAGTCATATATTTTTTTTTTGTTTTTGTTTATTTGTGGTAAAGTTATATTAAAAATTTCCTTTTTTATATAAAAAAAAAAAAAAAAAAAAAAAAAAAAAAAAAAAAAAAAAAAAAAAAAAAAAAAAAAAAAAAAAAACAAATCACGGTCTAATCAAATGGTAGAGAGAGCTTCGGTGAAAACATTTATACTCGATATTCGTTTCAATGGCAGATCTATAGTAGATGGTTATATATGAAAAGTGTAAGCGTTTTATTAATATTTTTTTTTTTCTTAATTTTCAAGTTTTTTTTTTTTTTCTTTTTTTTTTTCGGAGGGTCTCTTTTTCTCTTAAATTTGTCCATCGTCTTTTATTAACCACCCGTCGCTTTTGTGGTATAGTCTTCATTCCATTGTGTGCCCTTCCGTTTGCCTGAGGTCACCTTCCCCTCCACAAAAAAAAAAAAAAAAACACTTTTCGCTAGAAATTCAACGCTTACCTTGAACCGAAACATTTTTTACATTCTCGTAACTCAGAAAATATGATAAAGAAATAAAAAAAAGCTCCAAAGAAAGTCCTTCAAAGGAATCTCCTTAGCAGGTTCACTAAAAAAAACAAAAACATTTGCCCATCAAGCATTCAGCGCCATTTGGATTCTCAAATACATCGATGGTCATTATTTAACCAGGCGAGTCTTTGTTTGAATCCGAATGTGATGAATGAGGCGTGAAGGTGGCAAAAGAAGTGCTGAGATGAAACATGGTTTATATGTAAATCCCTTCATTGCATGAGAGATGGAAATGTGTGTTCAAGTGTACGTGATGGATTGGATGAATGTGCACGATCTTTTGATTTACGACAAGAAAATTATTTGTGAAATGAGAGGAAAGATGATTTTGTTGTTGCATAGCTTGTCATGGCTTCCCTTATGAGAATAATAGGTGTGTGGTCACAGCCCTCAAAGAAAGTAGTATGGTAAAGCATGAAAAAAGACAAAGGGATTAAATAATTACAATTGCACCTCCCAAAATTTTGGACATTGTGCAAAGAAGAGGAAAACAAAATTATAGGTCCTTCCTTCAACAGAAATCCCTTGATAGTTTAGCTCTGCGGGATGGAAATCTGAGATTGTGGTTTGAAGACATAAAGAACCTCACATCCCACAATCCTCTATCCATACCAGAAGCATTTGGTATCTGAGGAAACCTATTAATACTTCTTGGCATACCAATCTTATTTTCATGCGTGGACGCCGTCTCGTGTTGCCGTATTCAGATGCTTGCAAAGAAATTCACGATAGTTGCATGCAAGCGTGCATAAACAAAAGTGTTCATACAAAAGATGATGCAAAATTGGAAAATTTTTTTCTTTTTTATTCTTTACACACATGCGCACGAAATGATCTCATAATGAATTTAAATCGGGTGTCATTAAACTAGTACAATACATAAGACATTTAATGTCTCTGATAATCTAAAAACTGGCTATGGGCATTCCATGTTTTTACATACCACTAGACCACTGACATGTGAAATATCTATTTCCATGGTTATTGACTCTTTCACAGGTTCTTTCTTGAGAATCAATAAATGCATCCACAAAAAAAAAAAAAAAAAACCTTAATCCACTAAGTTTCTTCCTGCAATAGAAAGGACAACGGTATTTCGATTAATGGTAAGAATCACCAGGAGTCCAGTAGCAGGGTTCCCAACCTTGTTGATTTCCATCACTCCTATTCATCTTCAAATGGCAATAAAGAAAATTGTGATTAAAAATATCTTCCTAAATATAACTGCACTTTAATTTTATCAATTATATTTAGTTCCGGGTAGCTGGTATATTCTAATTTCGGATCCATCAAGCTTCAATGAATTCACTTATAAACTCTGGAGAGCGCACTGTATTTATCATCTGAATTCTACTGAGTGATCGGATTCGTCTTCTGCCTGCAAAGTTGCTAGATGAGGCCAAAACATTTCTAGCCAGCTGACCTAGATTATCCCAATGACTCCAAATAACTTCACGATCTATAATTAAAAAGCATATTCGGTTATTCTGATGGATTTTTCATATAATTAATTCTTTTCCAATTTATATCTAAAGATAAATATTTAAGACTGGCACATCAGTCTTCTTATCCTTAATTTATATATAAAGATAAATATTTAAGACTGGCACATCAGTCTTCTTATCCTTAATTTATATATAAAGATAAATATTTAAGACTGGCACATCAGTCTTCTTATCCTTGGTAGCATCAGCATTCATAATAAGATAGTAACCCTCAAAACATATGACCCATGTTTTTGTTGCAATGTTTCATCACGATGGATTAAAACCCTCTATATCCTAACAATTAAGAACGAAATTCGGTTCATTTTTTGTTTCTTAATGAGAAGATAAAAGCATCCGTTCGTTACACGCATACTCTTCCGTCGTCTTAAATGGTCATATCCACAAAGAATCTGCAAAGAATCTGACTACTTTTAAAATTACCGTTACATTAGGTCATATTCCATAGTGTCTGTGGATTATCTTCACCTGTATCCTCTTCATATTAAATTGAAAAATATCTTAGGAATATGATGCGTATTTATGATAATTCGGCCATGTATTCATCGGTAATGGTAGTCCTTTACCTCTACCACCATTGACAAAGAACCATACCTACCGTTAAGGTAAAACTGAATCAACTGAAACATCAAATGACGTGCCAGGCCATCCAAAAGTTGCATGTTAAGGATCATAGGATCATTGCAAGTCTCGACCTCACATGAAATGTATTCTTACTTAAAAGCTGAGCGATCATTATCGAAAAGTTATTTCAAACGCCTTGAAATTTTTCAAAAGCGGAGAGAGATTTCCATTTTACAGTGACCTAAGATGCGATATTTGGTTGAAAATAAGGTATATACCATGTATCTTACGGTAGCAAGTCTTGATATCTTTTTGAGTTGATGTTGAACGATAAAAAATTCGAGAAACAGACGCGTATCCATAGACTTAATTATTACTAATCGAGTTCGAACCCGTCATCAACCAGCACATTTATTCGGATTTGTGTGGATACTGTATTGTAGCTTGCACAGAAGTTTTCGATATCTTCCATTGGGAAGGGAATTACTGGAGAATGACGTTTGGTTCGATTTGCGTCATGCTATTTTCATTTTTATGGACTCCGCGCGTGAAAATACAGTATTATCGATGTTCGAAATAAGCGAGAATCAATTTTTATTCGGGTCTTTATTGACTCCGGTTATTACGCTAGTCTCCTTTGTCATCGAGAAGACTTGTCAAAGACATTACTTGTTATTTGGAATGAAATAAGCTTCGGAAAATCTCTTCTGATTGGTGTTGCATTTCGTACATAAACTTTATTATTCGCCTAGGTATTTTCCGCAAATACGCCGTATTTATTATCCATTGTTCGGTTTTTTCTTTGGTAAACAACTTTTTATTGGTTAACAATTTCCAATATGTCATCAACATGTTATTTGTGTTTAAAAAAAACAAATTATTTTAAATAAACCCGTGTTTCAAAATACGTATATTCACAATTTACAAATAAATAAAACCGTTACGTAATAATTATGTTATTATGTTAGGCAATACAGATCCGATTTTTATAGTATTGGGTACAAAAGAGTCATATACTGTATATAACAAAAACAAACAAATTTTTTGTTGTCACAAGTAACATATACTGTATAAATTTAGAATATAAAAAATTTTTTTAAAAATATTTTTTTAAACGAAAATTCAAATTTCAAAAAAATAAAAAATCATATACAGTACGTAATCGAAATTTTTGAAAAATTGTCATGATAACAGATAACATTTAGTTGCTGTTTATATATATGATTAACAGAATGTTTAAACGTTTTCTGATAAAAAACGATCTATATTTTAGATGTTAATTTTTATTGATTTTTTCAATATACAATTTATTGAAAAAAAATTAAATTACATAAAATTAAAACTTGATTTTATATTAATAATCGTCCCGTCTTATCAAAAGTAGATATATTAGGTAATTTAATAAAATAAATTTTTAATAATAAAAATATAACGTCGTATGTCTGAAATTCAATAGCTTTACATAAAAGAGTAGGCTTCAGGTAATTATTATAATATTTATGATACTCGACTCACTTTAGTATACAAGGCTGATAATTTCATCAGAGTTTTTTTAGCATGGCAAGATTTCTCAACCTTTGGATTGTCCACCTTCTCCTTCGAAGCGCAAAGATTTTTAAGTGAATTAAAAATGCAGGCACATAAAATTTAACATATCATTATGCAATACTACAGCTTGTGTTGATTCTCTGATTCTCGTAATATTTTTTACAGAAAAACTTCAGTCCTCATAATTTCCATTATTGGTAACCCTTCTTTCCAATTTCACCTTCCTACTATTCACCAACATTTTCATCAACCGTATCACCTTAACCATTAACAATACTTTTCGAACCTTTTCAAAGTTCACCGACACCCTTTTCTTAGTTTCGGACTTCTCGCGCCTAACTGTTGCCACCGCTCGTCTCGCTGGTGACGGCCATAGTTTGGTGGTGAGTTCAAATGACCAATAACGAAACACGAATACTTTTACAAAATCGAGGATTATAAATATCACCAACGAGATCTTTTTAAGTTTTGAAGGTGCAAGGTCATTATTGAAATTGAAAATTACAAATAATAAACAATAACAGCATGTTTTTAAAGAGTTTTTACTTTAAAAAACTTACCGACAGAATTACGATTGACGTTGGCCATCCAATAGCCTCAGTCAACCATCCATGAGCCGACAAAAACATTGCAAATATTTGAGTTCCAAATATGGATGCAATGAATATTGGTGATGGTATATTTTCCCAGAAATGACCCGTCAATCGTGTCGAAAAAATTACAAAATGCGGAGCGCTGGATATGTGAAGATACATTACAGTTTGCAGTCGATCTACATTAGTTTAATCAAGACATCAGCGAACGTACCCGAGATGATATGGATAAAATATTTTAAATGCATTGTCATACTTGGATCAACATTAATTATTTCTTCGAAAATGAAGAAATGTGCAAAACTAAATCCTGTCAATAAAATTCCTAGTATTATGCTAAGTGTAATTAACTGCCCAATACGCCATTTGTCTGGTCTCTCGGAAATCTAATCCGGGTTAGATTAAGCGTAGAAAATTTTCGGTATTAATAAGATCGCAAATATGTGGATTTATTGAACTTCATATCATACATTAAAGGAAAAATACTGCACATGGCACCTGAGCGTTGTCAACAGATATCACCAAAGTTGCCGCATCGTTTAAAAGCGCGATTAATATCAACAACACCGCTGGCATCCTCCAATCCTTGATCAATATGATAAAAAAGAAGAATAGCAGAAAATGTATAGTCGATGTGATACGATACAACGAATAACTCCTCATCCGTTGAAATATGGCTCGTGAAGTTGTTATTCCGTCGACAATTGTTGATAGTCCAGATGCTAATAAAACTATGTCAGCAGCACTTCGGGCAGCGTTTGTGCATCCCTGCACCGCAATGCCGACATTGGCACGTTTTAGGGCTGGCGCGTCATTTACACCGTCGCCCTTTTTTGAAATGGAAATTTTATTTGGTGACAAAGGTTAACCAGAAAATTATACAGTTTCTCAGGAAAAAAAACATACCGTCATTCCAACCAAGTATCCTTTTTTCTGTAACAACTCTACTACCCTATACTTATGTTCGGGTGTCACCTGTGCAAACCCATCAGCCCGTTCACAAGCCTCCGTCATCACCTCTTCTGACCGACTAGGATCCACCAAATAATTCGCGTCCAATATTACCCGACCCATCTCAAGTCGATGTGCCACCTCTTTTGCAATTACAACCTGATCACCTGTAATCATTTTTATGTTGACTCCAAGTTCTTTGCATCGATTAAGAGTCTCTTTGGAATCTGGCCTTGGAGGGTCCAACAAACTTATCATTCCAATTAAATCCCATCGTAAATCGTGATTGTTGATATCATTGGAAATTTCCTTAGATACAAGGGGTGATGACCTCGCGACGCCCAAGGCCCTTAATCCACGAGAGGCAAGATCATTTACAGCATTCGTGATCTCATCATTTCCATTCACGAGTTTGATAATAACTTGTGGAGCACCTTTAACGACCTGAAAAATTTCACCTGTTTGCAAGTTCTTCACGACAGCTCTTGACAACTTGGTTGATGGGTTAAACGGAGTGAACGAGGTGACTTTATACCCTGGGATTTCGTGATCATTTTCGTTATCCTTTAAAAAGTCAAGTTCTGATTCTGCGGCATTTCTTATGGCAGTCTCTATGGCATCATTGGTACTGGGTTCTGAGCACAGGTAGGAGTAAAGGAGTAATTCGGAGCTGGTGTGACCGTTATATAACCAAGGTTTGTCAAATGTAAGTTCGTTCAGCGTGAGAGTGCCAGTTTTGTCCGTACACAGAAGGGATACCGAGGCCAATTCCTCGACAGCAGTTAAACGTTTGATTATGACCTTCTTGGCAGATAATTGCTTTGCTCCTACGGCCATTGTGACCGATAACACAGTTGGTAATCCGACCTTTTCACGAGATGAAATATGGACATTGGTCGGTGAAACACAACCGAAGAACTTGAAACATTGATACATTTCAATTATAAATTGTTTCTACCGGAATGGCGGCAACCGTCAACAATAACGCTAACTGTAGAGTTTCTAGAATGTTACTTCCTCGAAGCTTTATTATTTGGTGGATGAAAATGATTAAAACAAGTATGACCGTAGTCAAGATGAGAAAATTTCCAATTTTATTAACAATTTTTTGAAAATGTCCTTGATCCACAGTCATGTTCATCAAAGTTGCTGCTCGACCGATATACGTGTCCTCCCCGGCTATATTTTTAAAAGAAACAGTCAGACTTTGCGCGAAAAGAATTTTCACGAAAGCACTAAAATTAAGAATAACTGATCAACTTTTGCAAACTATCGCCAGCATTTGGCCTTGCTTGATAATGGAACTGTATATAAAAAGCGAAAGCAACGATTAACAAAAAAGAAATAACAGATAGTCTTAAAAAATTGATCAATTTTACCTTGAGTAAACGTAATCGTCTTTGTTGCAACGCACAGGTAAACTCTCGCCTATAAATTACAAATTTTAACGACAAGTCAATTAATAAAGCAATAAATGAACTTACCCGTCAAAGCTGACTGGTCAACTAATAAACTCTCCGTCACGTTTCCCGTCACACTAATTCCCAACAACCTTGAATCAGCGGGTACAATATCACCGATTCTCAACGCGATCACATCGCCTGGCACCAATTCTGCAGAATCTACTTCTACCAATTTACCATCTCGCCAAACTCGAGTAGTCAATGCTAAAGTTTGTCGCAATGCGTCCAAAGCGGATTCAGCTCGAGCTTCCTCGATGAAACCGATGCACGCATTGACGATCAACAATCCAAGTATGATTCCAAGGTCGACCCAGTCGCCAACTATAGCAGCTACTATGCATGCAATTTCTATAAGATAGGCAATGGGACCTCGGAAGTAGGAGAGGAATTTCAGGAGAGGATAACTGGAATATTCGGTAGCTGGATAAATATTTTCTCAAAAAACTAATTAAAGACGACAATTTTATGGTACACACGGTTTAACATCGTTAATTTCATTCCTCCCAAATCTTCTCAATCGTAATTTTGCTTCTTCGGTAGTCAGCCCAGTCCTCGGTTCGGTTGACAAGAGTTCCTCAAGTGATGGCGTGATTTCATCAGCAATTTTCGTGGGCTCTCCATTCCTTTTCTTTTGAATAAACAAGAAAACGTGGGTAGTAAGAAATCCCAATAAGCCAAAATCTCTTTCATCAATCTCTTTATTACCTCATACATCGAAAGAAACAGGGATAGTATAAAGTAAATTTTCCTTACCACACGTGAATTCTGTTCATTATTCGATCCGACATCTTTTTCAACGTTATTTATTTTTGACATTACAATAACCTCATCCTGACTCGCACTATTTTTATTCTTACATTTCCCCGCGTTATTCTCCATTGGCATTGAGTTCTCTCTCACGTCAATTTTACTAGTAGTTACTTTTTCGTAGTCTCTTTCCTTTTGAGTCATAAATTACGTACTTGATTTTTTTGATGAAGAGGGGCGTTTCTCATCGAGAAATATCGATTGACGCGATAATTTTTGAAGTCGTTAAGGTCTATTAAATTAGACAGCTAATTGAACAAATTATATAAAGAACCGAAAAACGAATGAAAGATGTGAAGGTAAGTTATCAAAAGGTAAAGAAGAGACTGAAGGAAAGAGGAATAATATCGACACGTGAGTCTTAACAAGATAGCAAAGATGAGAAGATAAAACTGGAGTTTTAAGTTACACCGTTGGTTTGCAAGCAATAGACAGACGACGAGGTAAGATATGATGTTAATTAGATCAAATCACACAAGTTAGATTAAAAAATAAACTCATTTAAAGAAAGTTAAAGAAGCATCAGAATTCTTGATGATGTATTGATTATGCAATGTAATTTGATCATTCCCAGCTTTTTATATATCAATCTCAATCCATGTATTTAAATATTGATTCGCGTAATTGACGGACAAATATGATTTTAAAGGATCGTCAATAAGTCTGGAAATTTCGGATCTTTATAAAGCGATGAGGCAATACATTTACTGAGATTTAATTATATGTAAAGTAATTTGATGAAGTGACCCCCCTAAAAGTTCTTTAAATACTACTTTTATACACACCAGTTAAAACAAAACACTAGTTTTTCTAACTTCAGTCATAATTTCCATCAATGAAAATACCAAGTTTTGTTTTTAATTAAACCCTTTATTAACGAGATGCGGAGTACGCTTTAATCATTGCTATTCGACTATTATGAAATCTAAATTGCAAGTTATGATTAGAAAGTGGGTACAATATAAAAAACATATTGTGTTACACGTTAATCTTAATTCGACCCACCTTCAATCTCCTCTGTCGAGCAAGCTCGCCCTGTAAGAATTTCGATATTATGTTCTAATTCAGCCTTGTTTATTTCGAGTTCCCTTACCCTTTCCTTCAAGCGTCTTATCTCCTGTACCAAACCCTGCCCTATATTTTCCGCTAATTCGATATCCACCTTCGAAGATTTTTTTTGATTCTTCCCATATTTGTTCTTTTCTTTTGGCGTGAACTTTACATTCGATTCAGGCTTTGTGGTAGAATCAAATAACGTTGGTATGTTCGTACCCTATTGTAAGATGTACGTTAGCAAAAGCGAACAATGAGTTGAAATTTTTGAAATGAATGTTTCGAATACGGTAGGCCTATTTTCTATGAGTATGTGTGATCACTTCTTACCTTTAACAGAACTCTAGTTCCTTGAAAAATCTCCACGTCAAGAGCCTTCATCTCTTGCTCAAATGCAACCAATCTATCTTTAAGAGCTTGGGAAACTTTGTCACCTTCGGTCCTATCAAGTTCTTGTATTCTTTCCTCCAATTTAATTTGCTGTTTTACCAAAGCAGTGTTTGACTTTGCGGCAATCTGTATCTGGTTTGCATTTTTGTTTAATCGACTTTCTAATTGTTCTTTTATTAACGCAACTGAATAAGCGCATCCTTTATCTGAATTTAAATTCATATAACCTGCCATCTTTTGTTCTATCTGGATGAAACGTGACCTTTAGGATTAAGAGACTATTCAGCTACGATCAAAATCTTGGAGGAGAGTTCTTAGATAACTTGAAAATGTGAATTTTTTAAAGCAGAAAGTTATTTGTCATTTTAATCGCAGCGTGTTATTCCTTAGGATGGTAGTACGGGAAAACATGTTATTCGCTTGATAAGTACAGGATTTGTGTACTGTTTTCAAATTGTCTACTTGTGCAATCTTTTTTTCCAACGCAACATTTCTTTTAGGCAGTTTTCGGAGTCAATATTCGTTCGTTCAATGATCAACCGGATTATCCATGCCGGAATCAGGGATTGTCAAATTTTTTTCCAAGTCACTGGAATCTTCACTTGCGACTTGACCTAAACTGCGCTAAAGTGAAGATGAATATCATCTCAGCCTTGATATAATGTGCTGGAGTTACCTAAAACCATAGCAAATTTGATGCTAGGTTTTCTTCTAACTTAATTTATAGTAAATTTATTAGAATAAATAAGTGACGATCATGGTTAATTTAATAATTGATAATTCATTTATTTTTAATTCTCATAAATGAGTGTTGGAAAAGGGTCTGTTATACAAAGATCTGTTTCTTTTGTGTAAAAAAATTATATATTTAGATATGCGGAGTTTCTTTCGGAAACACTAGCAATTTCCTTGTTTTCGTGTATAAATAAATATTTTTTAATGCATTAAATTATAATAAATTGTTTTTTATTTATTAACTAAAAAAATTTTTTTTCAAATTAATTGATTATTAGTAGTTAAATAAACAAAATACAGTGAACCCTCTCTAAATGCACACCCCTCGGGACCATAAAAAAATTTTTGAAAAATGTGTATTTATAGAGGGTGTGCATTTATGGAGATAATTTTATTAAGAGTTTTATATACTTGGGACCAAGCTTGACCGTGCATTTAGAGAGAGAAAATATAGTAAGTGCATTTATAGAGGGTGCATTTAGGAAGGTCTCTCTGTATTTATATTATTATTTTTTTTAAGATCAAAATGACCTTTTATAGGTTTTTGTTAATACTTTGTAAAAAAAATACCATAAATTATTTTTTGTTATAATATATATTTTTAAATACAAAATATAATATTAAAAGCTTTTAAACTTATATATTAACTAAAATATTAAAAATATTATAAGTATTTTATATAATTTTGCTTTTAAGTTATATTTAAGAAATTTATACATTTATCTTTTAAATATAATTCATATTTAATAAATAAAAAATTTTAAAAAATAATTGAAGATACACTATGTTAAGAAAAAAATTGAAAAAATATTTATATCAAATATTAAATATTAAATTAATAAATAAAAATTTATATACTATGCAATGTACTTGGAAGCCAGACGTCTTAACAAATCAAAACCAAACACTTGAGCTACAAAGTGCAGCAATAGCATACATGGATGACACTACCTGGATATCCTACTCCAGAGCAAACCTGCAAGAGATCTTAGATGATGCCAGGGAATTCTATAAAGCAAACGACTTACAAATCAACAGTCTTAAATCAGTCTTACTAAACATAAATAGTATGGAAGAACCAGAAAACAACTTCGTAAAGGCTGGAATAGATCAAGCACTAGTCCGTAGAATGGAAGCCCACGAAACAACATGATTCCTAGGAGTTTGGATTGGAAGCAAAGACCCCAAAAAAGATACAATCCGCCGGGTCCAACATGAAATTGACAGAATAATATCAGTATTCAAAAATAAAAGAGCAACAGATAAACAAGCCCTATAC